AGGAGTGACCTGAAGAGTTGTGAAAGATTTTAATGGCCGCGCAACGCGAGACGACAGCAAGCTCACGCGAGTAACCCCAAGGCTAGCCAGAGCTTCGTCATCCTCGACTGGATGCCCAACTACATATGCAAGATTCATACCTGTATGTGCACCTCGGAGAATCGGTGTGATGTTGAACTTACCCTGTAGATGTGAACTATCTGCTAACCTTTCATTCGCCTCTGAATTGAACCACCGTTGGGTAATTCGTTTCGTAACTGCACACGAAGCTCCTCGAGAGGCGACTCGAGCAATAACTCACTGCATCGATGGACAGATGCGCAGATAGCGATCACAGTCAGAGCAACGATGACCCAGTACGTCCAAGCAGGCACATAACGACGTTCTTCCACGCTGAAAAAAACTATCCGGAATTTTAGTTTCCAGCGCACCGTCCTAAGCTTCAATACAGTGATTCATTAGCCGCAGTGGTTAAAGCTAAGTCTATGTTTTACATATGTCGATAAAATCGGTTCGAGATCCGGTGAGGATGATGAATCTCCATTTAATCACAACGTTGGGGAGCGAGGAGGGCCATCAGCCTCATCAGACCTCCACACTCCACTCGGAGGTCCGGGTGTGGTGGGAGGGGCAAGAAGTTGGAACACGGAGACATATTATCGCCATCTCTTCGAGGGGGGGGAGACCCCAGTGTAGTGCGTGCGTGCGTGCAGACTTATCTTTGGCGCTCGCCCTCACAATCTCGAAATCGTATGACGCTCACAACTTCGTGTGATCGAGCATACACATCTTCTAGATAGTTCGGCCAATGCGAAAGGCTGTGTGTGTGACTTACGCAATCACCTGGATCCGTTCTGCTGGTATCTTCAAACCGTACCTGAAGTGCCAGTTGATACCATCTGAGTGCTACTCCCTGAGCTTATAGGCATTCAATAGTTTCAATAATTCAACTTCCGTCCAAACTCGCGACTATTGGAATAAGATACATCGTTGCTCTTCTGACTGAGCCGGTTCACACACACTGTCCGACCCGATGGTACTGCAGAAGGTGCAGGAGCCGACTTACACTTCCTGGTAGTCAATGCAGCCCATGCAATCACAGAAAAGTGGACCACTCCCACACAGGGCGTAGTGTGGCGAGCAGCAATGGTATGGCCAGCCAGGTATAAACGATGGGTTCATGGAAGCAATAGCCCTGCGTATGGAAACAAAAGCAACGAAAGGAATCACCGGCTTCGCTCACTTTTGATGCTCCTGAGTCGTCGCTAAGCTCAACGGACATTCCGCAGGCTTTCGAGCATCTGTTGGTGACGGGAAGGCCGAGCCGCACTTGAGGTCAAATCTCCATCTCTGGTTGGGATCTGAAACGAGCTATCGGAATGGTCCCTAGCAGACGACATTCACCTAAGTCGTTCATGGCGGTAGGGGGTTGGTAGTCACTCAGTGAAAACGAATAGCTGAAAACAGAAATCAATGATAAGCTCAGATCGCTGAGCCAAGACGAATGGTCTAGCACGAACTATCAGTGCGAATAATCAGAGACGCTCACATCCGGTCCTTTCGCAAAGATCTGACCACAACGGTGTCTCTGTCAGGCGAGGTGAACAGGGTCTTCCCATCGAGAGTAGAGAACTCATAAAACCTGCAGGAAAGTAACCAAAATTATACAGTGCGTGGCAATGTGAAGAATGGGAGTTTTATATTCCGGGATTAATGATAGTGAACAACTTGTCGCTATCATAGTCGCGAAAGGTTACTTTTATCACATCACATGTTCACAGCAATGTTTACATTGCTTATGCGATATAGTTTCTAGCTTTACTAATCTCGGAAAATAACACACATTTGCATATCAAATTAGCACACGTTGTCACTCGAGATGATACAACAACTCTTACCAAGTGTTGATATACTTCTTGCTAGCGATTATTCTCTGAGCTCCCGCGAAAAGCCTCAACCAAGGATTCGCTTGGAACGTGTAGAAACTGTGAGCACGAGGTGGTATTCATAGGCGCACTCACTGATGTAGAACGAATACGATCAACGAAAGGTTCGTCGAGAGGCCATGGTTTAGCATGAGAAAATATGCACACTGTAAACTTCGTGTGG